AAAGCTGAAGTAAATAGCACCATGTTCTGCGTCATCTAAGAATTTCTGCAAATCGGTGGGTAGTGGCTTTGGTGGATTGATGTGCAAACCACCGACAAAAATCATGTTGTCCATTTTAGGTTCAGCGAACGCTAATGGTGTGTAGTTGTTGATTAATATAGCAGAGTGATTCTTCTCCATCGCCGAAACACTGGGGAATTCAACTGTGAAAAGTCAGAAAATTATAACAGTAGTGGGATAACTAATCAACTCATGCACAGCTGAATATGTCTTACTTGGCAAATGTCCAAAGTATTTCTGCACAAGCGCATCCATTTTCGGAAAATACTCAAATTCACGGAATAAATCAAGGCGAAGTGAGCAAAGGCTATTTAGAGCGCGTTCCCAAAAGCTCATGCGATCAGAAAATGCTAGAAATTCCATAGGCACATGCGACCAAGGTGTCACATAGCCGAACATTTGGCTCATGTAATTTTGTTGTGCAAATGTGGCTGAACTGACAACGGGTATTTTGTAGACGTGGGCCAAGGCAAGAAAGGCTTCTTGATGCAATTGCTCTACCAGTAGCAGATCGTAAACGCCTTCTGTTCTTTTGGCATTTATAAGAGCCTGTACTTTTGGCTGCTTTAACGTGTGTTCGTTACCTAGCACAGCCACATACTTTATGATTTCAAAATAAGTCGATAAACTATTTTCCATTTCTAGGTTTGTTTTTTTCCCGATAATTTCCTTAACTGAAACGAGACAGCATGTATGTATATACAGATATGCATATATATGTACGTATGTACTATAATAATTAAAGTTTGAATAGGTTATAAAATTTTACCAAACTTCCATGAATCAAACGCTGGTTCAATGAGTATCTCTGTATAGTTGCTGCCCAATTTGAGTGGTTCAAGCGTGATTGCGGTTATCATAGTGACCTAAAGGTGTACTAACCAGAAGTACTTCTAAGTTTATATAATAAAATATTATGAGGCTGCTGCTTATACCTCATGGCCGTGTTTCACTAACTCGCTAATTAGAGTTCGATGCATCTGGTAGTGACTTACGGTCTCAGCTGCGTAGACTGCAAGTATTCTGGCGCCATCTGTTGAAGGTGCTTGATCCGCAAGCATAGCGAATGCCAGTAGACCGACGAGAATTCTGGAACACTAAATATGTTCATAGGTAAGTAGATGTAAAGGAATAATATTTAAATAGTAACAGGTATATACATATGTATGTATGTGCGTATGTTTACTATAGGGGTATTCTCGGAGTCTTGCAAAGCCCTTGCACGCTAAAAGCCGGGTTTCCTATGGCACAGCTTTGCAAACCATGAACCGTACAAGGTATTGGCAAGACTCCGAAAATTCCCCAAATATCTCTTTAATTAGAAAATAAAATGTATGGTTCCCTCCTTAACGTCTCGTCCACGTGCGCTATGAACGCCATTAACTATGCTGATGTCTCGCCTCCTAAAGCAGGGATCACACGATTTGTACATTTGTACATTGTCTCAGTAACAGAGTGGTGTTCTTTGGATAGATAAAAATTTCAACACCGCTCTGTGACTGCGAATATGTACAAATCTGTACAAATCGTGTGATCCCCTGCTGATCGCGCTCGAGCGCCCACCAAAAACTATGTTCACCGCCGCTCCTGGTTTCGTAACTGCTTATTTATCGTCGAAAAGCAACTGTCAATCATCTTATCTCAACATTTTCCCTACTAACCGTTTTCTTGGCTGCTAGTCAGCTCATCATCGAATTAAAAACAAGAACAAAGCTCTTCATACGTGAAATGCTTTCCATGCTGACACTAGAGAAGCTCTGACCACCATCAACACCACCTGCTTCGCTTTAAGGCTGGTTTTCACAATGCCAAATTCAATGACGTTTGTCGTCAAATAAGTGAAAACAAATTGTCAAATTGGACTAAAAAACGGTCTATCGATTGATTTAGGTCAGAATATGATTTCAGTCGTGTATATGCACTGCCAATTTGACTATCTATCCGCTTTTGGCCAATAATATATGTAATCGGAAAAGGTATGATTAAATGAGATAAAATCGTGCCAAAATATGACAACAAATTTTGCCGTCAAAATTTGACCTAGTGAAAACCAGCTCTTAGTCGTCGTCGCTGTTAGCATAGCTGCATCTTAAAAAACTCAAAGTCATTTGATCACAGACATCCGGACAAATTGGGTATTTTATTATTTTTTCTTAACTAGAAAATATTAGCCTATTATCTAAAGGTTAATGATTTTAATTATTAAACTATAAATCGAAATCGAATGACTTGTTTTCGTTAATAAAAAAAGCCACGGAAAAGGCAAAGATTTCTGGGCCAAAAATCGGGGCATCTCTAAAGCATCGAATCCGAACATAAAATTTTGTTTTTAGAATAAAAATGACTTAATACAGTTTTATTTAAAACAAAACCAAATATAACTTACTATCTAAAAAAAACATGTACAACAAAATTCCAAAATTTTAGAACATTTATAAAAATTAGACGAATTTGAGTTACGGTTCATCACAATTGGAAACATTTTAATCAGATTTTCTAGAAGTGTTTTGAGTATGCTACATTTTGAAGCCCATTAAATTTTAGTATAATAAAATGCAAGTTGGTAGAAGCTTGGTCTTACCGTTGATTTTTGGCAATTTTTTGATCGCGCATTTTCTTCCATACACAGTATGTTCAACAATTTTTTTGTATGGAGAAAACGGGCAACACCTTCCACGAAATTTACCATACATCAACGGTAAGTCCTAGTTACTTGAATGGAATAGGTTACAAAACAGCATACTCAGAATGTTTCTAAGAAATCTAATGAAAAATCACAATCACGTAAAATTATAATTACCATTTTTATTCAACACCACCAAAGTGAATATTTTTCTTCACTAATTCACAAATGTATTTTTACTTTTTCTGGGTTTGCATGCCTCGACCCACCGCACTCTAAAACTAAAACTTAACACTTCAAACACTAGTTATTTAAGGAAAAAGTTGTGTGATACATTTTTTACATTTTCTGTTGCAGGCACAGCGGCGCGGGAGGGGTGATGTGATTTATTCAATTAGAACCAGAATCTCACAATCTAGAACCTACTTTCTCTATTGGCGCTTTAACCGCCTATTTCTCTTCTCTGCCAACTAAACGCCAATTGGAAATGCCAAGTGAAGCCAATTCCATCTTCAGGGAATCCGTAGGCTTTTTGATAAACTGTAAGATTAGTATTTTATTGGTGTTGTTGTATCCTATATTTCAGTCACAGCTATTTGAAGAGATAACCGAAAAATAGTGGAGATTAGATTTTAGTTCATGCATAATTACATGCATACATAAATACGTATGTATGTACATATGTGAATGCTTAGTCATAAGCTAGTTACAGAAAGTTATCTACTGTGATGTCGTTTGTAGTCTATGATAGGGTAATATTAACTTTTGATAGGCATTCCAATTTTTGAAATAAAAAAATAATAAATAAATAAATACTCACTATTTCTAAGGACGTTAACCCCCTATTTATATATATATATATATATTTTTTTTTTGTGTATGTTTCCGCATACCTTTGGCCCACCACGTCAACCGATTTCGATAATTTTTTTGCATCGGAAAGGTAGTGTCTCTAGTGGTCACATACTAATCTGGTTAAGATCCAATCAGTGGATCATGAGATATATATATATATTTTTTTTTTGATATGAGAATGGAAGTCGTTTTTTTTTTGCTAAAAATTACTTGTTTGTATATCTTTATTATAACCAATATTACTACATCGAATTCACGTCTTAAATGCTTTTGATTATAATAATGATTGTGTTCAATATTGATAATACATAACTAGTAATATACCATTATTAATATTCACATTATATTGGTAGTTAAATTTGAATATTCCTTACTTGGCAAATGTGTAAAGTATTTTTCCACAAGCGCATCTATTTTTGGCAAGTAATTAAATTCACGTTGTAGATCTATGCGCAGTGAGTAGTAGAGGTATTAGAGCCTCGCTACTACCAAGGCGAAATTATGCCACACATCTGACTCATGTAGTTTTGTTGCGCAGATGTGGCAGATCTGCCAGCAGGTATTTTATAGATGTGAGCCAAGGCAAGAAAGGCGGCTCAAGTACGAGAGCGGCTACAATGGTGACCTAATGGTGGATTAACAATAAATGCATTTAACTTCGTAAAAAAACTGCGTAAAAATCTGTGTGGAAAAGGCTGCATTTACCTGATGGCCATGTTTCAACAACTCGCTAATCCGGGTTCGATGCATCTGGTAGTGACTTCTAGCTGGCATTATGTAGACTGCGAGTATTTTGGCGCCGCGCCATCAGTGTTAGGTGCTAGAATCAACAGTCCAGGCAATACTAAGAGGAAAACTACAATTTTTAAACTCTAAAAAGATGTGTTATTGATTACAAACATTTTGATTTCTTTTCTATACGCATTTTTGTACATATTTACCTATCTTGTTTATCACTGCAAATAATTTTTTGATTCTTCAAATACATATTTGTTCACCGATTAATGCCAGCTTTCTAGCTTTTGCTGCTGCGGCCCACCACCGCGCACTGAAAACCATATTTTTGCACTGAAACAATAATACTTCGATTGTCTAATATTTAATTTCTAATCATTTTTTAGAGTTCCTACTTATCAGTGTGGTAGGATAAGATTTTCGTTTCAAAATTATGTGGTAAAATTGCAAATTATGTTTGAATATAGGTGCCAATTATTGCGATAACAAACGAAAATTATTATTGATATTAGTAATAATAATTCATACAAATCAGCGGTTAGCTCTTTATACACATTTTAGCATGCTTTAATTGGCAACGAAATTTGTAGTTGAATTATATACTCATGCTACATACATATGTGGTGATTGTTTTCGCCATTGGTAGCTGCAATTGCACGCTCTGATGCAAAGTCACGCACATTGTTAAGGCCTCCATGCTAAACCAAACAATTACATAGAAGGGCGAACCACCCTAATGTAAAATTGCATTTATGTGCAACCGATTCTCACATAGGTACATTAGGAATGACCTAATTAATGCTAAACCGTTAGCGTATAGTTACGCAAACTATTTTTCCGTTTAAATATCAAACTTCATTAAGTTTATCCGCCAAATAATTTGTTGCTGGGATGTTATTGCAAATAGCGCGGACACTTGGAGCGAGAACTCGAGGATATCGGGACGATTGCCAGCCACCACCCCCTGCCTATTTTTATCACAGGTAATATTGTAAGCTGTAGTTATTATACTTCACCGAATTTATGCAATAAATCACTGCATTTGCCTTTAATTCGTGAGGTTATTCGTAGGGACTATTATATTTTAAATTTTAACCAAAAAAATCAACATGTTGTAATCCTTATAAAACGGTTTTATCTATACTTACTTATTCATGTTCGTACGTCCCACTGTAATTTACAATGATTTTTATATTTCGATAGCTCAGTTTTCTACGCCGGAGTTGCTGATGCAAGTCCCAGTGAATTTGATGAAGTGATCTGACGATGAGATTTGGTGATCTCCGAAATACATAGCAGCTATGACTTCTACCATGTGTAAATTGGCCCTGGTTTTTCGCGAATTTTTACATAAAAACGGCCTTAAGATCAATCAAATTGTTGAATATCATTGTTTTTAGGCTACAAATGTCCAAAAACAATAAAGTTCTAATGTTGGCCGGATCACACAAGCAGTCTACAGAACCATCAATGGGCGGGATTTGCGTAGAGATTGTGAAACGGCCTGTACCTCAATTGACTGTTTGTGCTCGAAAAGGTCTTTGAAATAATGACAAATTTCACTTAAGCCAAGGCAAGATGTACAACACTCAATTGGGGGTGTTTTTGCAGTCATTAAAGGACACGTCTGCGTTGGATTGATAAACATCAGCTTGCGTAGGCAGTTTTCATAAGATGAAAGTTCCAGCTGTAAGATTTCCAATGTCTCTACCATCCAACATTAGATTTCAAGTTTGGTGGTAGGTGCAAACCAGGGACGGAAAATAATCATTATTTTTAAAATTTTAATCTAAAAAATCTAAATGTTCCAAGCGCCACAAAAGACACTCGATCGCACACAGATATGTTTCTTTGTATATTCTGTTATAATTATAAAATATTTATATTTTCCGAGTTTAGCCAATACAAATTGAAAATAATAATAAATTAAATATTTGATTTTTATTTTTTCACTTAATAGTAATGTTTATTCTAAAAACTCAAATGCTATAGTGGCGTTAATTCCGATGTGTGTATATTTTCAGAGGTAGCGACACCATAACGGAAAGAATGAGTCTGAGGTCAAAGTTTCGGTTGGTTGCATCTGTATGGGTTTCTAAGTGGAAAAATAAAACTCAGTAATATTTTTTTTCTAAACGAAAAAGTTTAAATTATAAAAGTTTAAATTATAATAAATAAAAATCTTGGAATGAAAAAATTAAAAATCATAAAATAATTATTGAATGCTGATTAAAATTATTTTACTGCTTTGGTCTTAAAGTAAAACACGTTTTGAAACCTACTTTAACGTTGGTATTTGAACTTCACGTAAAGTTAGTAAAATCTTTTTTTTGCCAGGCATTACTCGGTGATAAAAACATTTTTTTTTGAGATGATGAAATACCGAACTGATCCACAGGTTCCTTGGCTTTTAGTATTTAAATATAGGGTATTATAATTGCACCTAAGGCTATATTTTTGTGAAACTTTTTTTCAGTACGAAAAGCTACTTCAAAAACAAACATAATTTAAATTTTTACTATTCTTCAGAAGCCCATACCCAGGGCCGGCGAACCTTAGTACATCGTCGCCCGTATACCAGAAACATGAATGTGTAAAAATGAAAAATTTGGGAAATAAAGTTGGAAAGTTTTTTGTTTACTGGACTTAACACTACATTTATGCAATTGAAATTGTAAAATATGTGATTTCCGTGTACGCATGGTATTCTGGGTTTTGGTATAAAAGGGTGGCGAAATGATGCACTGGAACTCAAGAATCGAATGTGTTCTGTGATTTTGTTGGTTACTGTCTGTATTTTTTGCTTTCTGCTTTGATTTCCAATTTAAATGAAAAAATAAATTGTTCCGAATAGGTAGTAACTAGTAATTGAGGAATTGAGTCCCCAATTAATACCGTATCCAAATTATTTTGTTGCATGCCATCAATGGCACGCGCGCCTCTGGTTCGCCAGGCCTGCCACAAACCATAAAACTGCCATTAATAAATGAAAAATTTTGTGCACACTTTCATACCTAGCATGAGTACAATTACCCAACAAATATGAATATTCGAAAGGTTCACTTTTTCCCGTCCGCTTGTCGTAAAATGCTATAAAACTAAGCGTGCAGACGACATTTTATTGTAAAGATTAGATTTGTTTACGCACGCATGTAATTGTATAATTGCTCTTATTTCGCAGTTTTATTTAGTTTTATTTGATGACTTGCACACAAATGCGAATTTCACTTTCATTTACATCCCTGTAGGCAAAATCTCTAGTTCTGAACTGATGCGCTTCTAGTTAGTACATTTAGACCCAGTACTGCTTCGCGATAAATCTCTATTGCATGCAAACAATTGGCGAATTTAACATGGCGATGTCCTAGGGAGTGTTAATTACCCCCCTCTTTGCCCTAGTCCTAAACGAAAATTTGTTTTCAATTTGAAATTAAATTTGTTAGAATATTTGTGAGAAATGTACATTTGCATATCTTTGGCTGTAGCTGAGTTTGCAGAGGTGTTCGCTGTTATTGATTAGATTCCAGACGATCTCGATGTTAAAATGTAACACAAATGTCTGGTTTGTATTACCAAACTATGAAACAGCATCTGCGATGTGCAGAATTAAAGCGTATTTGAACGAAAAAGCCGCCAAACACATTTCTATGTTAAGTAAACGAACACTCGCTGCATCCCTTTGCCGACAGTTCCGAACTTTGTAGTTCTAAATTCGACAGATAAGATCCAGTTAATTTTTTTTTATAATTACGAATCAGTTCTAAATTCGTCATCTTAGATATAGGTTTCTAATGAAAAAAGTGGAATAAAATAGTTTTTTTTTAAAGTACCACATTTCGCCGATTTTGGACTGGTTGGGATCTAGTTACCATCGCACTGGTTCGTTTTTGGCGATAAAGATCAAGTGCGGAACTAGAAATTTGATTCACTAGTTCGCGATTTACCTGCAAGGATAGCTTCACCGGCATACATGTGGATTAGACGTATACGCCGCCACGCCGCCGCCGCGCTTTTTGGACGTAGAATACGTCTTACGTTTCGATATGGAGGCTATGCTCAAATGTTGTAGTTGAAATTTTTAGAGCTTTACGAAAACGCTTATTGCACGAGAACTAAATCAATAATTTTCCATACAAAATCACTTCATCATCATTTTGCAAACACGTTTAGTTTTTCTCTCTGACGTCAGAATTTTTTTAAAATGACTTTGAAATTTCAAAAATATGATTATTTCAAAAAATTATTTAAAAAATTCCGTGCAATGTAGGATAACAATACGGCTATCATATAAAAGAGAAAAGTCTGCGGAATTTTAAGAGAAAACATTTTTTTGGTCAAAGTCACTCCTCTTTTTTGTACAATTGAAAAACTGCAACGACGGTTCAAGATACTAGAGATGTCAGCTTTCAAAAAAACATTCATACATCGAGTTGAAAATTGTCGATGCATCGAAGCATAACATCGATATTTTCGATGCATCGATGTTTTTGCGACATCCCTAGCTTCTCTCAGCTGTAAAATCGAAAGTAATTCCAAAATCCAGTAAAACCAAATAAACAACTGGTTTTCTTCTTACAAAATACGTATTTGAATATAAGTAGCTATTTTATATAAAAATAGGTGTTAATCATAACTTATCAAAAGACTTTCGCAATCCTTCTTTGTTGCGTGTTCTTTGTTCTTTCATTGTTCTTTTTATGCTTACTGCACTTTTTGTTTACCCTTGCCACCCCTTATCTTTCGCAAGATCCAGCGTATTGTAAAAACAGAAACTGCGAATGCTACCAAAACCGCGACCAGAACTAGAGCAGCAACATCCAATAAATAGAATTGGTACCACTTCAAATCCATACCAGCAGCGCGCAAATGACGCGCCCCATTGTGGCGTATCACATAGTCGATCCAATAGAGTAACGTCTCACGCGGACCCATCGGACGATCGCGGAAAATGCGCGAGAACCGTTTAGCAGTATCCCGGTATTTGGGATTGAAGAGCACCTCATTCAGACCGCTTCTGAAATCATCATGCGTGAGCGTATGGTAATCCAAAGTAACGGCAAATCCAGCAGCCTCAGCTTTCTTCATATTTATATGCTGGTGAAGAAAAGAAGATTAGTAAAACAAAAGTGTATATGTTTTTTTTTTGCTCATATTGAGTTCACCTGATCGAAGAAGAAGGGCATGCCTACCACCGGGACACCATGATACACGGTTTCTTGTAAACCAAACAGCCCTCCGTGAGATATAAAAGCGCGAGCATTAGGGTGCGCTAAGATGTCGTTTTGTGGCAACCACTTTTTAATCAAAACATTGGATGGTAAATTTGGTATGCTTTCGTTTTCGAATTTCCATAGAACGCGTTGTTTTAGCTGACGAAAGGCATCGAGGAATAAATTTAGCTTTTCTATTGGCATGCCCTTGGCTTTGACTACGGTACCAAAGCTGAAGTAAATAGCACCATGTTCTGCGTCATCTAAGAATTTCTTCAAATCGGTGGGTAGTGGCTTTGGTGGATTGATGTGCAAACCGCCGACAAAAATCATGTTGTCCATTTTAGGTTCAGCGAACGCTAATGGTGTGTAGTTATTGATTAATATAGCAGAGTGATTCTTCTCCATCGCCGAAACCCTGGGGAATTCAACTGTGAAAAGTCAGAAAATTATAACAGTAGTGGGATAACTA